AAAGAGGGTAATAAAAAGCAAAAGAGAGGTAAAGTTCATATGGAAAAGTTGTAATAAGTATTAGATCTAGGTAAGGAAAAATACTGGTGTTTATTGAACTTTTTTTTTAAATGTGACACTTTCCCTCTATAAACTGCACTTTTATTTTATTTTTTTTTAAAGATTTTATTTATTTAGGAGAGAGAGCAAAAGAGGCAGCGCATGAGCAGAGGGAGGAGTGAGGGAGAGGGACAAGCAGACTCTGTGCTCAGCCCAGAGCCCAACCAGATTCCAGGACCCTGAGGTCATGCCCTGAGCAGAAATCAAAAGTCGGAGGCTTAAGCTACTGAGTTACCCAGGCGCCCCCAAAACTGCACTTTTAAAGTTGCAGTTAAACATGATGGTCACAAGGTGGCGATAGACTCACTTTTGAATTTATTTAGGGACACTCCTTCCGTGAAAGGAGCATCCAGAAAAGAATACTTTTTAAACACAACATCTTCAACTGGAGAAATGTGTAAAAATCTCGGGAGGTAAGAATCACTGAGAAAATTCACACCTAAAATTGAGTAGTTAACATTCACATGGGCATGCTGGAAAGTAGAAGGACACAGAAAAAGGAAGAAGCAAGGACTGTTTGGGAGAAATCTAGTATTTAGTCCTGGCTCAATTAATGCTTAATTTGTGACCTTACCCAAGTCAACTATAAGTAGCTTTCACATGTAAAATGAACAAAAAATTAGACTCTGGGATCTTTCACTTTCTTTCCAGCTGTAAAAACAATCTTTTCCCTTTTTGGTTCAACTTGAATATGGTAAGTCTCTAATAATGAATTCTTTCTTCTTAGTCCTCAGAGACATTGACCCTGGAAGCAAATGCCTGATAAACTCAACTGACATTCTGTTGCTGTGACAAGTTTCCTATGGAGAAAGAAACATAGTTCCTCTTAAGATATATACAAATATGATTGGAGATGCCATAAAATATTCCTGTGCACTGTATCTGTTTGTAGCACATGGATAGGTGTTTCTGAAAACATATATACAATTACTCCTCTTCTGCTCCTATGCATTGCCATCCCATATGTAAGCAAGGTGGAGAGAGTAAAGCAACAAGGCTATGAGGGATGAAGAGGCAGTGGGCAATAGGACATATGATAAAGATCTAGAAAGATTTAAATGATAAATTCTTTGATGCGAAAAGGAAATAGAGTTGGTTCTGAATAAATTATCCTGTGAATTTCATCTTTCCCATACTGCACCAATTCATCTTGTTCATGACCCTTGCTAACTTTCTGACATGCTGTACCCAGGAGGCTGGTGTCTTTTTACTGTTTTCTGGTAGCTTCCAAAGCAACCAGAGCTTCCCTCTTTTACCATATCCACTGTTATCAAAGTATTTGCAACTCTTTTCCACCTCAAAACCAAAGTCCATTCCATAGGAAAAACAAATTTTCAAACCGATTGACAAATTTTATTGATTAACAGTCCCTTTTATCTACCCCCCTTCTAATTTTGGGGGATAAAGTCATAGAATTGTTGAATCCTTCCATTGGAAAACGTCTTTGTGGACATTTAGTACCAATATCCCAATTAATAGAAGAAATTTCTGCACATACTGTGTGAAGTATGGTACAACCAGAAATCATTTTAAAGGGTTATATGTAAATTGAGCAAAAAGAAATAGCACCAGTTCTGGTTCTCTGTCCCTCCATTGTACCCATGCCCTTTGTAATGGAACTTGGCACCTCTTCTAATTAAGATCAGAAGTCTACTACCCCTGCTCCCTGAATCTGGGCTAGTTTTTTGACTTGATTGGTCCTACAGATGTGGGGAGAGTGACAGAGTCCACTTGGAAACCTAAGCCCCTCTACCTCTTGGAACTCTCCCAGCTACCATCTGAATAACTTGAGTTAACCTGATGGAGAATAAGAAATGCCTGGACCTGCTAGCCAAGTGGGCAGTGAGCCAACTGCCCCACAGGTGACTAAGGTCCCCCTAGCCCAGTCAGCCTTCAGCTGGTCGGTCAGCAGCCCACAGATGCATGACTGAGCCCAGACAACATCAGCTGAACTAGTTTGAGTAGAAAGTTCCAGCTAATCCATGGTCTCATAAGCAAAACTAAATCATTGTGTTTCAATCCACTGAGTTTTGAGGTGATCTGTCATGTTGGAAAACTTAACTGACTCAGGTAACAAGTACAATTGTACTTGTACTTATCGTTTCTATTATAAATCAATTTTAGCATTATATAATTCCATTAATTAAATCCGAAAAATTTAATAATAATTTGCTGCCGACTTGTTTGCTCTGATTTGATTGGTTAGAAATGTTGGATATTATTTTGGTTTGTTTTAGCAATTCTTCCTTTGGGTTGCTTTTGTCTGTCTCTGATAACTGCAATGGATGTTAATTCAGGGAAGAATACTGATAAGCCAGAAGCAGCTCAATTATATGTTAAATAGTGTGAGAATTTTAAAATAAATACAGTGAAAGACTCTAAAGACCGTATTTGTCTTAGCATAATAACAAAATTGAGAGAGAAGGGAATTGATAATATATTTAACACAAAGCATATGACCAAGACTGAAAATGCAATAAAATTTCACAGAAAACAGCATCTCCTGCAGCTGAAACAGTCACAAGTCACTTTATAGAAGGTAGTCTTAATTTGAGTCTTAAAAATATTCAAAGTTCCCAACAGGTACAGAGGAAAGAAGGGCATTCACTCAGAAAAACAGCACAAACAAAGGCATCTCATCCCATATAGCAGCTCCTGAAACATCATTTTTTTAAAAGATTTTATTTATTTATTTATTTGAGAGAGAGAGAATGCACGCGTGCATACACACACAGTGGGGGGAGGGGCAGAGGGAGATGGAGAAGCAGGCTCCCCGCTGAGCAAGGACCCCCCCCCCCAAAGTGGGACTCCATCCCAGGACCCTGGGATCATGACCTGAGCGGAAGGCAGATGTTTAACCGACTGAGCCACCCAGGTGCCCCCGAAACATCGTTTTATTAACCACTTAGAATTTCCTACAAAATAAACTCTGACAGAGAATATTTATTCTTCTTTTTAAATCATCGTTCATTCAGTATTCACTGAGTACCTGCCATGTGCCTGACATCTTTCTAGGTTCTTGGGACACATCAGTGAAGAAACAGAGATCATTGTGATTGAGGAGCTTGCATTCTGGATCCACCCCTCCATTGCTGGTTGGGCAAAATCACTTCATGTACAAATGAATCATTAATTTAAATCATCCTATATTTGCATTAGCACCAGACAGGAAGTTGAAATAATATAGTAATAATTGAATACTGCCTTTCGTGCTTTCAGCCTGAAAATCATTACTAATGAATAAAAATATCTGAATAAAAACTTGGAGAAGAACACAAGCTCTCTGGAGAGCAATTTAAGTCAGAATTGGATTACATTTAGAGAGTATGCTTACTGAATGTCTTTGCTTGGGAATTTGTAGCCATGTAGCGCTTACCTATTTCCTAAAGTTATTGAATATTGAAAATTTCCTGTGAATCACAAATGATAAATCCAAAGCACACTCTAAGTATGCAGCGTTCAAATGTTTGTTTTGAAAGGGCCTCATTAGATTGTGTTGGGATAGATGGAGAGGTAGGTATGCAACTGACTTCATATACCTGGGAGATCAGATTTGGGTTCTAGCTCTATCAGTGGGTCACTTCCTAAATGTTGACAAGTCATACTCTGCTGCTTGTATTTTTTTAAAAAGATTTTATTTATTTGACAGAGAGAGACACAGCAAGAGAGGGAACACAAGCAGGGGGAGTGGGAGAGGGAGAAGCAGGCTTCCCGTGGAGTAGGGATCCCCATGCGGGGCTCGATCCCAGGACCCTGGGACCATAACCTGAGCCGAAGGCAGATGTTTAACCAACTGAGCCACCCAGGTGCCCCATGTGCTTCTTGTATTATTATTTGAAAAATGGTCTTTTAGAAAAGCTATTCTTGTACCTCAGCCACCCTGCTGAGGTTCAAGGCAACAGTCATAATCAATAGCTACAAATGTTGGTGAGGAGCACTTTGCTTGGAGATAACACCAGTCCCAAGCACCATCTCACTCCAACTGCATTAGAGACCCCAAGCAAGAATCATCTCGGGAAGCCCATTCAATCAACACATTTGATTGTACAATAATTTTTTGTGCAGGAAATACTTATGGAGAACCTACTATGTGCCAGAACGACGCATTGGTTAATAATACTACATAGGTCCTTCCTCTCGTGGAGCTCATAATTTTTTTTTTTTTTAAAGATTTTGAGAGAGAGTTATTTATTTTGAGAGTGAGAGTTAGAGCATGCAAGAGTGGGGGCAGAGGGAGAGGGAGAGAGAATCCTCAAGTGGACTCCCTGCTGAGCACAGAACCCCACGCCGGGCTCGATCCCAGAACCCTGGGAATTATAACCTGAGCCGAGATCAAGAGTTGGCCTAACAAAATAAGAACAATAACAAAACAATAAACAGATAAACAAAATAATTACCCCATTTCCTATGTTATGAGAGAAATAAGGTTTTGCAATGGGACAAAATGGATAAACCTCTTCTGATATTTATTGTTTGTGTCATTTCTCTGTTGACAAAATTCTCTTTTTAAAAATTTTTTAAATTTGAGTATAGTTGACACACAACATTAGTTTCAGGTGTTTTTCCCTTTGTTCTATTTTGCTTGGTTGGAACAGAACAAGCATAGCCAGGAAACCACAACCCAAACCAAGTATGTCCACAAGGTGGCAGAACGGAGTCCACAGCAAAAAACGGAAGTACAAGGGCAGGTTACCTAAAAAGGAAAAGAATCTCGTGACTGGCTGCCTACACATCTGGGCATTGGAAACAATGACTTCTTAAAAAGCTAGGCTAATGCATCAAGAATATCTTATATTTAATTCTTTTCCACCATAAGGGTTTTTCCACGAGAACTGTTTTTTTAAAAACATTTTAAAATTTAAATTCAGTGAATTAACATATAATGTATTATTGGTTTCAGAAGTACAGGCCTGTGATTCATCAGTCTTATATGATACCACGAGAACTACTTTTTATCACGCACTGCGCCTATCAAAGCCTGCTGTGGAATGAGCGGACAGGAAGTAAAACAGAAGCAAATGGATTTCAAATCCAAGCACATGGCATAGAAAATAAACGGAAGGAATCTCCCTGGTCCAGCCTCAAGGTCAATCTACAGCAGCATGAATAGACTGTACTTTGCCATTACTCAGCTTAGCTCATTGTATTAAAACGAGTCAGGGACTTCCTTTCATTGTTCTGTCTTGGTACTCGTGCAATGTCAGCCAGGAGAGCAGTGGAACCAGCCTGAGAAACATAAAAGCAACTTATTACAATACAGCAAAGAAGAATTGTAATTATATTTCAGAAAAGTAAAGAGAAATAAATTTACAAATTGTGAGAGAGAGAAGCTTGAGGAAACATTCAGGAAGGAATTAACATTTGATTTAAACCATCCACAACTTCTCCGGTTTTTCTAGTCAAAGCAGAACCTCACACTCATGGGACAACATGTATTAAACAATGAAATCATACAACGTCAGGAGGTGTTTGGAGATCGATAAGGAGCCTGCACAAGGAGCGTATGGGCCACTTAGAGGAAATGTAGATGGCAGATCTTGAATAACGTAGCAAGGATTTCTTTTGACATGTTTTAGAGTTGTGGTTAGTTTGTCAATAAACATTGACTCAAATACTGTAGATCTAATATTTTTTAATCCGCTTAGAATATGGTTAGACATGCTTTCCTCAGGGAGCTGCGGAAACTTTATAGTTTGAGTCTCAAAGATGATCTCCAGTGTCCTATCCACTGGTAAATTTAATTGATCATCTAATACTGCAATAGCAAATCCTTGTGACAGAACTTAACTTCTTGGAGTCAGTTTCATTGTAAAACACTCTTACAGTTGTGTCCCTTAGGGCCACTTCATTTGGGATCTAACAAGTATAGGAGAAGGAACAGGTCCATGTTTGGAATGAATTCTGGATTAACTGGATGGATTTAGAGAGCTGTATCCTGATTTGCTTTAGAAGGTTGCATTGAACATTATTTCAAGGGGTGGACATGTACACTGTCAATTATGGAAACACTTTTTTTTCAGATTTCTGTTCTTTATAGGTCTCTTCCTCAAAAGTGCCAAACAGTTCAAAATCTCACTGTTATCATATACTGTTCATAATGATGTTCTTGTCTAGAATGTCTCCCTAAGTAATTTATTTCCTAACACAAATGAATTATACTTTGGGTTTTGACATAGTCAAAATTGTATATTAACAAGTATTATAAATCATCATGAAAACAGAAATTGAAATGTTATTTTGGTCACTATAGTATGTACTTGAATTTATATAATTCAAATTGGCATTGAATGATCAGAGTAAGTAGATATCTGTTTTTCAGAAATTTTATTATAAGCCTCCAGTATTATTATTTATTTGATCTCCATAGAAGATGTGGCATGTTTTAAAAAAAGTGAACACTCATGATATTTATCTGAATAAACATTTCTCTTTTGTTGAAAAAACACTTATTTTCCATTAAATAATGGAAAACTTAATTACATATTTCCTACAGCTTGTATGTGAGCCATAGAAAGGAGACATAGAAGGAAAAGAGAGAAGTAATGAGAAAAAATGGGAAGAACATTGGAATGGCGGGAAGGGTTTAGATCCCTTCCCAAGATCCTTTGGTTATGAGATTCTGATATCAGAGTCAAGAGAATGGACTTAGGTCAATGTTCTGCCACAATCCAGTTGTGTAATAATATGAAAAATCATAGACTATGAAATATTCACGGGACTTTAGAGATCTTTTACTAAAACTTTTCTAGAGGTGAGCTAAGGCATAGAGGGGATCAATGAAGGCCACACATATATGCCAGGACTGGAAACCATTCCTCTCAGCTGCTCTGGGCTTCTTTCCATAGAACATCTTAAAATGATACATATTTTCCCTATGTATTTGTTTCCTCATTCATTTAATGAGTAGATTAGACATGAACTTCTGTAAGATTCACAATAGTTTTAGAATTCTCAGTATTGGTTCACTTTGTGCTATTAAATATACATTAGGCCAGTTTAACTGTATATATAGTTAAAATTGCAGAGACCTATAATGGAAAGTAAAGAAATTGAGAGGAGATGTATAGTCAAGAGTCAGAACATACTTTATTTCTGACAGGTTTTAATTCTTTTTGGCAGATCCATCGATTTTCTGTGTCACAGTCCTCAGAAATAATTCCTGTTGGTGAGATGGAAACACAGCTCTTTTCTTGAGTATAACCAGTAATTTGTAATCTGTGGAGCAAAAGAAAAAACTCCCTTAGTGTTTGTGATTTTCTCACATAATTAATTCCCTTCATCTAGCCAGTGTCTCCTACAACTTTCAGGAAACAACGGGATGCTAAATTATTAAGTATAGCGTAAGTACACTGTCAAACATAAAATGGTATAAACACTTAAAAAAAGATTTTTATTTATTTACTTATTTATTTTTAAATTTTATTTTATTATGTTATGTTACTTAGTTTTATTTAGAGCACGACTAGGGGGAGGAGCAGAGGGAGAGGGAGAGCGAGACTCCCAAGTAAACTCTGCTGAGTGTGGAGCCAGATGTGGGACTCGACTCTGGGCTGGACACGGGGCTCGATCCCATGACCCTGAGATCTGAGCCACCTAGGCACCCTGGAATAGCTATATAAGTCTCTGGAACTCGCCAGTTCATCTTCACTGGAAAAGCATTCTCTAACAAGAAGCTTCGTAATAACATATGCAAAGAAGACAAGCTTTGGAAACTGGGATTCTCTTCTTATTCTTATTCTATCATTGACATATCATGTGAAAAGTTTCTTTACCAAGCTTCAATTTTCTTAAATATACAGGATATAACCACTAATATTTGGGGGAGACATTGAGATGGCACATGTGAAAGTATGACAATGCTTAAATGGTGTATGTGCTCAGTAAACATTAAGTACACAGTGAGTGATGGGCATACAGGGTCTATAGACTTTGGACACAGCTAGGAAAAGAGGCTTCGTTTGTGTGCTATGTGGTCAGAAGTTTCCTTTTTTTTCCATTCCAAGCAGAGGTTGGTAGGTGTCTGCTTCAATATGCCATTAATTCCAACAAGTGTGAGGCTTGTGGCTCACTGCGGGTGAGGGTAGGAGTAGAATCAACAACAGAATAGGCAACATTAGGGCCAGGTGCCGGGATGGGGTGAGTTCAAGACTCATGTGTTTCAAACCAAGTGGAGTGGTGGTGGACAGGGTTCTGTCACAGCTTTTCTTTGTTACTTCATTGCATTTCTTCACGCAGCCCCTTGGGCCTGAGCAGCCAATCTGATTCCTCCCTAGTGTCTGACACTCTTGTCAAATTATGAACTTCTCTCAACTAGGCTATTGCCGAAGCCTGCCATGTTTTACCTCTTTACCCTTTTGATCCCTTCTTCAGCTTTCAAGATAACTTTTTTAATGCTCAGATGGCCAGGTCAATGATTGTCTTTCCAAAAGGCCCTCAATCTCAGCCTGGTTCTCTAAACTTATCTCATTTAATCCCTAAACAGTCCTGAGAGAAAAATTATTATCACCCTCTATTTTTCTCCTTACCAGCAAGCCAGGCTGACAGTTAAAATGAAAGCAGAATCTGATACCCTTTCTACTATAACCCGACACCTTCCAGGGTTATCTGATCACTGCCCTCTTAATCAAAGCATCATTTTTATCCCAGAGTAAAATGGAATGTTCAGCTGAATTTAATCCATCCACTTTACCTATATTTCTGCTCACAGACACTTCAGTGTTTTCCAATTTTATTATGAACCTCAGTAAAATAAGTATACACACATACTAAATTGAATCATCCAAAATTAACCTTTATTATGCATGAAAAAATAAAAATAAGTCAATATCAAATTTTCATTTATATGTAAATAAAGTATAGAAAATAATACCCAGAAAGCATATAAAAAATGAGGATAGATTTGTGTGTGTGTGTCTGTGCTGTGTGTGTGTGATATATGTGTAGAGTATGTGTGGTGTATATGTGTGTTGTGTATGTGTAGTGAGTATGTTTTGTGTGATGTGTGTGTGGTGTATGTGGGTATTGTTTTTGGTGTGTTCTGCTGTGTGTGTTTGTGTTTGTGATGTACATGTGGTGTGAGGATAGATTTTATTTAACAGAAGGAGTATGCTTGCCTTTTCATAAGTTTATTCTACTCCAGAACACTTATTTTATTTATTTATTCATTTATTTATTTTAGATTTATTTATTTCAGAGAAAGTGAGAGAGAGCACACGGGGAGAGGCAGAAGGAGATAGAATCCCAAGCAGACTCCATGCTGAATGGGGAGCCCAACATGAGGCTCGATCCCCAGGACCCTGAGATCATGACCTGAGCTGAAACCTAGAGCCAGATGCTTAACCAACTGCGCTTCCCAGAACACTTATTTTAAAATAATCTTTCAAAGAATCACATTTTAAAAAATAGTTTAGAACATGGGTCAGACAATGTGAAAATTTGCTAATTAAGCCAGCTTTTTTTCAATGTTTAATACTTTTCCATAACAATTATCACTATAGCTTAGATAAACTTGAACAAGCTCCTGTGTTTTAAATTTCATGTTTTTTCCTCATGTTTTTTGAAGGATAAAAAAAATTTTAACTATAATTTATACAGATTTGATTGAATCATTCACAGACTAAAAAAAATGCAACATAATATCATCTCTTCTGAAAAATCTATCGAAAAGTTCTTTACAGAAACATTATTGAATTCCTACATACTTTTGCTTCTGAGGGAAAAAAAACTCTTTGTTGTACAATTAACCATGAATTCTGTTAAAATATGTAATTTACCTGTGCAGCATCAACCCTCCTATTACATGGCTAGTTATCTTGACCACCTTACACAAGAAACTATAATGAGACACCCAAGAGAAAATAGCAATTAGATCCTTTGTGGCCTATGACATATTAATCCCATTCCCTGAAATAACTGTCTCCTTTACACCACTGGTTAAAATATACAGCTAACCCTCAAACCACATTTGTTTGAACTACACAGTTTCACTTCTATGCATTTTTTTCTTTTTCGATAAATACGGTAAAGTATTGTAAATGTATTTTCTGTTTTTATAATTTCTTAATAACCTTTTCTCTAGCTTATTGTGAGAATACAGTATAGAATACATATAACATATAAAATATATGTTAATCAATAAGGCTTTTCGTGTGTCTGGGTTCTGCATGCTGATATTTACTTTTTTTTTTCCTCTTATATTTACTGTTCCAGTGCTGATGGTGACCCCCCAAGGTATATTGTCCCACAATTTGAAAAACACTACTTAAAAACTTTTGCATGATGAAAACCTCCAGCTAGAGATTGCTTAATTTTATATGCCCCTCCCCAAAAAAGTTAGTCTGCTCCTTTCTCCTCTAAAACCCCCTTGCAGATAAAAATATATATTGCTATAATGGGCTGATGTCTTTTCACATACGGAACTTTTCAACCAACCAACTTCAACATCATCATCTTAGTCTATTCCGAACCTCTTGAAAATTTCTAAACTAAATTAAAACCACAAACCTCAATCTTCCATAACAGTGTTACTATCCTGGAATATTAACCTGATTTGGGAATGAATATTCAAATTAGCTGATCTAATACTCACACATTTGAATTTAAAAATGAACCATTTATCCATTTCCATTTCTTCTCTGATAATGTTAAATTTAGTCCAATCCAAAATAGCATTCCCTTTTCATTTATCCGCATTCGTATGAGTTTCTATCAATAAAATGAAAGAAATGACTGAATATTGAATCTGCATTATCTATTCATGGTTTGCATTTTCCTGCTCATTCTCTAAAACAGAGTTCAAGTCTCACCTAGTCTATGATGCCTTTCCTAACTCCCCATCAGAGTTAATTATTCCTTCTTTGTGATATTATTGTCCCTATATTTATATCCATATTGCTGCATGCATCAAAGTCTCTTCAATTATTTGCCTACACCTGTGTGTAGTCTCTCAGACTGTGAGCTTCTTGAAGTGAAATTTGCTACTTCTATCTGCATAGAACCTTTGGGCTAAAGCCCAAAGATCTTGGTATGGTTAGAAAAAAGTGCTAAGTTTTATTATTAAGATATCTTATTTCATTATTTACCAATTCTTCCTGATCTCGAATAAGCAGCAAACTGGATTCTTTTGTGGAACAGTCAGTCAGACTATCTTTCCAAGTGTTGGAAGCACGAGAAAGAAACAAGCATTTTTCTGGGAGTATATGCCAATCTTCTGGGCACTTTAACAGATCTAGTTTCTCTGAAGTAAACAGAAAGAAGAAATAAATAAGTGTTATATTTCTATTCTGTCTCCATCCACCACAACTAATCACACATGCACAGGTCATTATAAATGCACAGAAGTCTCTGATTATCACTGTGAGAACAACAAATGAATTTATTATAGTTTTGAGGTTTTTGAGACTTACTGTTCATTCTGGTATCAAGAATTGGAAATTCATGACCAGTTATAGCGAGCATAAATGGAATCATAGAATATTAGAATAGGGAAAGACCATCAACATCATTTAAGCAGCCACATCCTACTTTTTAAGGCACTGACAGAATAATTTAAGTCCACACAATCAGCTGGTGGTAGAGTCAAAACTATTCCTGAGTTTCCTTAAACTCATCACTAGTGCTGACTCCACTATACGTCCAGTATGTAGTTATCTAAAAAATGTTTACTTTAAACAACATGTAAACTGCAAGGCAGATAATAATTGATTTCACTAAATTAAAGACAAATTCAATGGAAAATTTCTAATTGTCAAATTATCTATTTGCTAACTTAAGGCAATCTATTAGATAACATTTTCTGGAAGGATTTTCCAGGTTTCCTAAAATTTCTGTTCTGTAAGAATGTGCACAATCCATGATCACATTCTGCTACAGTCATTCAACAATAGTGTCTTTATTAACTCAGACTACCTACTGGAGCAAGATTGATGTCTTAAGATTAATGGACAAAAGTTAACTCTTTGACATACTCATTAAGATCATCAAATATTTTGCGTGAGTGCATAGTTAACTTTTTAACATGGTATTTGGCTATTAATTATTGAATATTCTAACAGCAACTTCCCATGAGGCAACATGAACTGGTGATTAAGATCATAGACTTAATCTATGATGCAATTTCTGGCCACAGGTGTAATTTCCGTTGTCACCTCTTACTAGGTGTATGACCCTAAGTGAGTTGTTTTCCCTTTCCATTCTTAGTTTTGTCAAACATAAAATCAGAAAGATAATGCCATCTTAACTTATGGGTTGTTAGGAGTTTTACTACTGTAACATATAGTATCTGTCAAATATGGGCTATTATTTTTAGAAAGTTCAAGCTACCAAATTACCTGTTGTTTCATTCCTGTTCTCTTGAACATCCACTCGGCTTTCTTCTATTAATGAGTTTCGTCTTAAGAAAGTCACTAGCAAGTAAGGAGAAACCATTAAGAAGATTAAATGCTGAATGTGGTGAAATGGATGTGTTATATTGATCACTTCAGGAGACTATATTATCTCAACAAGGCTGAATGTGGACAGAAGATAAAGCGATAGTAATGTAGCAAAGAGCCTAGTTAGAACACAGCATACATACACAAACAAGAAAACACATGGAACGGTGAACTCACACAGACACTGACTTACCTGTTGTCTACTCTTAAGTTGTTTATACTCCTGACCAAGCTTTTTCATCTTCAAAATAAATATAATTATGTTTACCCCATGGGAGAGGTTGCCTAGTGCAATCTGGAATTTAGTAGGCACTTAAAAAACTGTAAATAAGGGAAAATTTTATTTTTCTTTGTCACTGTCATGTTTTTATTATAACTGTGATCATTTTTAGGTTCTGGGAGCACATCTGAAATACCCCATGAAGACGATCAGAACAATTAGGAAGAGAAATGTGAAAGGCTGAAGTTTGCAGAGTAGATTTGGGCCGAGCATTGTGAAAAGCATTGTTTTGTAATTGTTTTTATTTTATTGGTCTTTCACTAAGTTTGAGGTGGCCAAATGATGTTGATACTCTAATATTTGTGATAGAAATAATATAAGTATTCTGAAGCAAATAATCTTGAATTGCTTACCTGAAACACTCAATCCAATCACAGTCAAAGTAAGAAGAATAATCGCAATACAACCAAGTTTCAGAGCAAATTGATGCCAAGATGAACCTTGACAGACATCTGAGAAGTTAGGAAAATACACTCAGTTAACCCAGTTGAGTTCATCTGGTACAAAAAGCAAGGGTGTTTTGGATCACGTATAGACAGATTCAGGATGGGAGCTGGGGGCAGGAAAGAACAATCAGCCATATTAGGAACCCACGAGGTGGATTCTCAGCCAGATCCAGTTGAGAGTTTGCTCACTGATAAAACAGAAATATTTATGCTTGTCTTATGTACAAATGATTGGTATAATAATCAAATGGGATAGATATGAAAAGTTTTGAAAATTGCCAAGTGCTGTGTGAAATTGAAACAAATACCATATTATAGGGAGTAAGTGAAAGAATTTTGTCTAAAAAAAGATGGCCATTGTCCAGTCAAGGTATTTTAGAAAGAGCTCTATTGAGGCTCTATTTTGTGCTAAGCACCATTTTAGGTTTCGGTTACATACAACAATTCTATTCTTGGACATGGATTCCTCTACTTTATTGTCATCTAAAACAATTATCTCCAACTTGAATCAGATGTATGGCATTCAAGAAAGAGTGTTTTGTGAAGCTGCATATTATTTTCAGTATTTCAATGAATGTAACATAGCATGAACTGATGTCTACAACATTGCATAGTCTAACAAAATATCAAATACATTTGTATTTCTCTGTAGTCATATCACTTACAATATAGCATATATCTCATGTTCATCAGAAATTGTGATTGTATTAATTAATGAAATGGGAGGCTTAATTAATTAATGAAATGTATTTTGGTTCCCGACATCTTTATTTGTTTTATTTTTTTAAAGATTTTATTTATTTATTTGACAGAAAGAGAGAGAGCACAAGCAGGGGGAGCGGCAGGCAGAGGGAGAAGCAGGATCCCTGATGGGAGCTTGATCCCAGGATTAAGCAGATGCTTAACCGACTGAGCCACCTAGGCGTCCTGGTTCTAGACAGCTTTAAAAATTTGGATTTCATAGGGAAAACTAATGTGAGTAATTTTCTAATAAAAAAATTTGTTCCACAGTTCTTTCAGGTCTTGACTCAAATGTCATCTTGCCGTCAGGTTCTGTAGATATTTCATTTGATACTGTCCCTCCCCCAAAGCTAAATTCTACTTCTATTTTTTATTTTTCTCAATTGCACTTAATATCATGTGATCTTTTTTACATATACTTAGTTCTTTGTTTATCTGTGTCTGTAGTAGTGTAATATAAACATAATAAAGGAAAAGATTTTTTTTCTCTATTTTGTTGACTGCTGTCATCTCAGCACTGATGGCCTAGCACACAGAAGGTGCTTATTTTTGAATGAATGAATAACCTCTAGAGGCATTTTGCCAACACCTTACTTACTTTTCTAAGGGACCAAAACCCTTGACTGTAACAAAATAGGTCAACGCTCACATCTCTGCCTGGTTTTACTGACTCTTGGTTTTCTCACTCTTTTACGGTAACCACAGCCTGAAAAACTTAGCCAAAAGCTCAGGAGTGGTTTCACAATAATTGTAATATCAGGCCAAAAAAAGAAACATATAACACATTTTGTTGACTTTATTCTACTTTTTTTCAGATTCGCTTTTAGGATGATATTTTGTAGGATAAAAATATAATCAGACTAGACAAATTTTCTGGACCCATTGATTTGGGGTCATAGAGAGTAGATTTTGAGGAAAATCTCCCTGCCTTTTTTTTTTCTTCCCTTTTTCTGACATCCCCTTTCAACACCATCTTCCTTTCTCTCTGCTTTTGCTAGATCTGAATAGGGTCAGAGAAGTCTTACTCTTTCCCATAAAAAAATATCTGTGGCTAGACCAAACTCCAACTGTAGTTACCAAAATCCTCCAATTCTCCTTAATCCCCATATGAAAAGTATAGTGAAACTTATTTGGTAACCCTAAACCTTTTTTCCCAATTTGGAACATTGATAATTTAATAGTTTCAAACCTATCCCAAGTCATTCTAAAAGAATATAGTCCACATGCTCAGCACAATATGAAACAAATATCAGGTTAGATAAAAATCCCAATATCACATTTGGTTAGATTTCAGAAAGTCATGATAATTTCATATGTATTTTCTGCCTAGTTCCTGGTCTTTTTTCACCCATGTCCAGGTCGTGGCATCCCTCACCTATTATTTCATATTACACTTCCCTATTTTTTTTTTTTTTGTTCACTGACACGGAAAAGTGCTGATTCCAACAAGTGTCAAATAGGTTCGTTCGTTAGTGATATTCTCCAGTGTCTCAAGGCTTATCTCCTAAACTGTGATACTTTTCAAGTATCAAGTATCAAAGTTAGAAACCATCACATTGTAATTATATTGAAGTCTTCAATCTTGAATATGATTTTCTTCCAGAAATTTTTTCCCCTTCTCTTCGGAGAGTGAAGGATGTTAATCATTAAGCTTATACTTTGCATTGTGAAAAAAATACTATAGAAGTGAATTCACTGGAACTTAATCTTAGTATTTTGTGAGGGGATTTGGAATAAGGTAGGTTATCATTACAGCAAGGTAGCAATGTGTCTCTAAAAAAAATTGCTTTGTTCATATGTGTAAAATGTTTCTTCCTGGTTTTTAACCAAGGCTCAGTAATAGAAGTGATGTTCACTTTTCACACTAATATCTTTTTTTAAAAAAGATTTTATTTATTTATTTGACAGAGAGAGTGAGAGAGCACAAGCAGGGGGAGTGGGAGAAGCAGGCTCCCCACTGAGCAGGGAGCCCAAGGTGGGGCTTGATCCCTGGGCCTAACTGAGTGAGCCACCCAGGTGCCCCAGTAAATTTATAATCTGTGCATCCTTAAGCTGATGGTGGGAAAAACAGAAGGGGCTGCTGTTTTTAGAAACATATGAAAAATACATTGTTAAAATGTCTATGCTACCCAGAGCAATCTAACAGCAATCAGACAACAACAACAAAAAATAAAATGTATTCAAATTGGCAAAGAAGTCAAACTCTCTCTCTTCGCAGATGACATGATACTTTATGTGGAACATCCAAAAGGCTCCACCCACAAATTACTAGACTCATACAGCAATTCAGTAATGTGGCAGGATACAAAATCAATGCACAGAAGTCAGTTGCTTTCTTATACACTAACAATGCAACTGTAGAAAGAGAAATTAGAGAAACAATTCCATTTACAATAGCACCAAAAACCATAAGATACCTCGGAATAAACCTAAGCAAAGAGGTAAAAAGAATCTATACTCTAGGAACTACAGAACACTCATGAAAGAAATTGAAGAAGACAAAAAAAGATGGAAAAATACTCCATGCTCATGGATCAGAAGAATAAACATTGTTAAAATGTCTATGCTACCCAGAGCAATCTATACCTTCATCGCCATCCCGATCAAAATTCCAATGACATTTTTCAAAGTGCTGGAACAAACAATCCTAAAATTCGTATGGAATCAGAAAAGACCTCGAATCGCCAAGGAAATGTTGAAAAAGAAAAACAAAGCTGGGGACATCACGTTGCCCGATTTTAAGCTATATTACAAAGCAGTGATCACCAAGACAGCACGGTACTGGTACAAAAACAGACATATAGACCAATGGAACAGAATAGGGAGCCCAGATATGGACCCTCAACTCTATGGTCAAATAATCTTCAACAAAGCAGGAAAGAATAGCCAATGGAAAAAAGACAGTCTCTTCAATAAATGGTGCTGGGAAAATTGGACAGCTATATACAGAAGAATGAAACTCAACCATTCTCTAACACCATACACAAAGATAAACTCAAAATGGATGAAAGAACTCAATGTGAGACAGGAATCCATCCAAATCCTAGAGGAGAACATAGGCAGTAACCTCTTTGACATCAGCCACAGCAACTTCTTTCAAGATACTTCTCCAAAGGCAAGTGAAACAAAAGCGAAAATGAACTTTTGGGACTTCATCAAGATAAAAAGCTTCTGCACTGCAAAGGAAACAGTCAACAAAACAAAGAGGCAACCCACAGAATGGGAGAAGATATTTGCAAATGACACTACAGATAAAGGGCTGGTATCCAAGATCTATAAAGAACTTCTCAAACTCAACACCCAAAAAACAAAGAATCAAGTCAAAAATGGGCAGAAGACATGACATGAGTAGACAGTTCTCCAAAGAAGACATACAAATGGCTAACAGACACATGAAAAAATGTTCATCATCATTAGCCATCAGGGAAATTCAAATCAAAACCACACTGAGACACCACCTTACACCAGTTAGAATGGCCAAAACTGACAAGGCAAGAAACAACAAATGGTGGAGAGGTTGTGGAGAAAGGGGGACCTCTTACACTGTTGGTGGGAATGCAAGTTGGTAGAGCCACTTTGGAAAACAGTGTGGAGGTGCCTCAGAAAATTGAAAATAGAGCTACCTTATGACCCAGCAATTGCACTCCTGGGTATTTACCCCAAAGACACAGATGTAGTGAAAAGAAGAGCCATATGTACCCCAATGTTCATTGCAGCAATGTCCACAATAGCCAAACTGTGCAAAGAGCCAAGATGCCCTTCAACACATGAATGGATAAAGAAGATGTGGTCCATATATACAATGGAATATTACTCAGCCATCAGAAAGGATGAATACCCAACTTTTACACCAACATGGATGGGACTGGAGGAGATTATGCTAAGTGAAACAAGTCAAGCAGAGAAAGTCAATTATCATATGGTTTCACTTATTTGTGGTACGTGAGGGATAGCATGGAGGACATTAGGAGAAGGAAGGGAAAAATGAAGGGGGGGAAATCGGAGGGAAAGATGAACCATGAGAGACTATGGACTCTGAGAAACAAACTGAGGGTTTTAGAGGGGAGGGGGGGGGAAGGTTAGTCCAGTAATGGGTATTAAGGAGGGCATGTACTGCATGGAGCACTGGGTGTTATAAGAAAACAATGAATCATGGATCAGTACATCAAAAACTAATGATGTATTGTATGGTGACTAACATAACATAATAAAATAAAACTAAAAAAATTAAAAAGTAAAAATAAAAGGCAAAAAAAGAAACATATGAAAAATATAGGTTCATATATTATAAAAATATATCCAGCATTCTTTTTTTTTAAAGATTTTATTTATTTATTTGAGAGAGAGAGCGTGAGAGAGAGTGAGCACATGAGAGGGGGGAGGGTCAGAGGGAGAGGCAGACTCCCTGCTGAGCAGGGAGCCCGATTTGGTACTCGATCCAGGGACTCCAGGATCATGACCTGAGCCGAAGGCAGTCGCTTAACCAACTGAGCCACCCAGGCGCCCTATATCCAGCATTCTTGATGATAATATTCTGAATTTAAAAATTTCTAAGATATTTCTTTTTATTTTCTTTTGTGATTGTATTAATTAATGAAATAGGAGGCTTACTTAATTAATTAATGAAATGTATTTTGGTTCTCGACATCTTTATTTGTTTTATTTTTTTAAGGATTTTATTTATTTATTTGACAGAGAGAGCACAAGCAGGGGGAGCAGCAGGATCCCTGATGTGGGGCTCGATCCCAGGACCTTGGGATCATGACCTGGGCCGAAGGCAGACACTTAACTGAGCCACCCAGGTGCCCCCCACACTAATATCTTGATAAAAAAATGAAATCGACAAGGGGCGTGCTTTTCTTGGCAGTTATTGTTACCTACAGACAAACTCTGCTGCACCACTGCAACAGTAATATAGAATTGCTGCTCATCCTCAGAGCAGTGATTGAAAACCATAAATATGAGAGGAAATTCTAACTCTGGAAGATAAATACCAAAAGGAAAATTAAAGGTACTTACCTTGAGGAAGTGATGGGGGTGATGAACTTGCAAAGCAAGAACCCCTGGATAAGTTTAAGTCAGCATATACCACTTGTCTATCCATTGTAAGCAGGGGAATATGGCACTTGTGTGTAAGGACAGACTCCAAGTTCTGTGAGTCAAGATCAGCAAAAGGAAGTGCCCAGTCTGAAATGCTTTGTTGTTTCTCTTGTAACCCCTCCCACTCACACTTTTAGCTGTGGGTTTCCTCTGTAAATTAGGGAGACAATTCACTTATTGGGTGTCTAATATACTTGGATATGTAATATCTACTTTGCTTAATTAACTGGTCTGTTGTTTGACAAAATTTTGGGAAGATTTTGTCGTTGTCCTTCTAACCATCCCTTTTGAGTATCTTTCTCAGGGTCAGGACTGGCATGAGGCAAATGAGACACTCATCTAGGGTGGACATTTCAGGAACTCTCCAAAAAGACTCAGTAATCAAGAGAAATAATAGTTAATGCAATGTTGCAAAAAATAAACATTTATGCAAAAAATGGCAGGATGCCTTTTAAAAGCTCTAAATTCTTCCTGAAATATTTGTGTTCCAAATAAAGCTGCTATAGAAGCACATGCTTACTCCTTAAAGATTACTGATAATTATGAAAAGTAAGCATGTGTGAGAATTGAATGACCCACAAAGAAAAGTATGACATTTAAAAAATTTTTTATTAGATTTTATTTATCCATTTGGCAGAAAGAGAGAGAGTGCAAGCACAAGCAGGGGGAGTGGCAGAGGGAGAGGGAAAAGCAGGCTCCCCTCTGAGCAGGGATCCTGAGGGGGGCGCTTAATCCCAGGACCCCAGGATCATGACCTGAGCTGAAGGCAGATGCCTAATCGAGTGAGTCACCCAGGTGCCCCATTACATTTATAATCTATGCATCCTTAAGCTGATGGTGGGAAAAACAGAAGAAGTTGCTGTTTTTAGAAACATATGAAAAATATATGCTCATATATTATAAAAATATATCCAGCATTGTTGATAATAATATTCTGAATTTAAAAATTTCTAAGATATTTCTTTTTATTTTCTTGTAAGAGTTTAATTTTTAGAGTGATGCACCAGTGTTTACCCACCATTATTTAGAAGGTGGATGTTTCACCCTCCCCCAAAATTCTGAGTCTTGACTATGATACATTGGCTCACCAAAACTAACTTACATTGATAGTACCATTGTATGCACTCTCCAGTGACTCAGTGACAATGTTAACTATCTGACTATTTGGTAACTAAGAGTCACTTTATTTGTGCTATTTTATTTGGTTTTGTCACATACTTCACTTAAATTTTTATTTTATTTTTTTTAAAGATTTTATTTATTTATTTTGAGAAAGAGAGAGAGAGAGAGCACACACGTACAAGCAGGGAGAGGTGCAGAAACAGAGGGAGAGAGAGAATTTCAAGCACACTCCATGCTGAGCATGGAGCCCAACACAGGGCTCAATCTCAAGACCTTGAGATCATGACCTGAGCTGAGACCAGGAGTCGAAGGCTTAACTGACTGAGCCACCCAAACACCCCTAGAGGATTTTAATTAAATATCAAATACATATAGCATGTTTTACAGATAGAACAATAATTGAATGAAAAATTGAGTTAATATTTTGCAGTTTTCATAACATGTCTTTTTAGACAACCATATTTAAATCCATATGACAACCTTGCCTTTCTTAAAATTTCCATTAATAAAAAATAAAGTTCATATTGATATGAAAATGTTTGTATCAATGCCTGGACCTTGCCAGAAAATTGAAAATAGAAATGACTGAAATATAATTAATTAGAATGAATCTCCAGTTTTCCCCAACCTTGACTCTAACAATGAATGAGAGGGAAACTGTATACTGGCAGGAAGGTGATAATGAGCTGATGGCTAATGGCAGAAGTGAATGTAAGTAAAAAACACTTTGGGAAAGTTTAGTAATTATAAGTAACATTTGTAAAGATCTTTATTTTTTTGGTATTTACATAACTTCTTGACTTGGAATCACCTAAATTTTTAGAGTAAACATAATCTGCCAGGATTATGGAAGGGTATACTGGGTCACCTATATAGAACAATGATTCTTGAATTTTAGTGTCTATACAAGGACCACCTGAAAATTTGTTAATAATGTAGAATCTTGTTACATATACTCTTCCCTTCCTAAGATACAGTTAGTCTGGGGTGGGGATGTGCTAAAAAATCATCCCAGGTAACTGAGGTGGTTCATGAGCCACAAATAAAAAAACACTCATGTAGCATGTAAAAAATGTGAGGATATTTGAGAAAGATTAATAGAGTGAACAGAAGTCTGATAATCAGGGGATTTAAATAATGTTTTTAGTGCACTAAAGTTTAATTTAAAGTTACGCAGCACTGGGGTACCTGAGTGCCTCAGTTCATTTAGCATCAGCCTTTGGCTCAGGGTCCTGGGATGGAGCCTGGTGTAGGGCTCCCCACTCAGTGGGGAGTCTGCTTGTCCTTCTCCCCTCCCCAAGCTCATGCTCTCTTTCTCTTTCAAATAAATAAATAAAATCTTTAAAAAAATAAAGTTATGCAGCATGATTGTGATTATTAGGAATCCACAATGGCCATATGAAAAATAATTTATTTGAATGTTCCTTTCAGAGCGTTTCCTTCAAACAGAAGCTTGTAAAAGTCTGAACTGCAAAAGCATAAACTGGCTCGAAGAGAAGTAGAAACAAAAGATGAGTCTTTACTTGTGCATATGTACTATACAACATATTGATGGTTCATTTTGTTTGTTACATCCATCTTCACAATCATCTATCACAAAAGACACTTATTGTGTGATCATTATTGTATACATAAACCCTTTATAAGAATTCACACTTGGAGAATTTTTTTAGTTATGTTCATCTAATCATCTAGATGGCACTTTTGCAAAAAGCATATCAGAATTTAGGAATATACTGTCACATATATATGTATATATGTTATATGCATATATATGTGACAGTACATTCCTGACTATATATGTGTGTGTATGTATATATACACATATACACATACATACCGAGATAGGCACACACATAATATATATGATGTTAAAGCTAAATATTTCAGAGAATGAGTGATTACAAACTCTGAGATTTAGAATGTATAACAGTAGCAATAACATTGAGTAGCTCAAAAAACAATAAAGATAGATTTCTTTTTACTATATCACCTATTTTGACATTGAGCTTTCCTAGGTTAATAGTGAGAGTTGGAGGGGTGCCTGGGTGGCTCAGTCGTTAAGCGTCTGCCTTCAGCTCGGGTCATGATCCCAGCATCCTGGGATCGAGCCCCGCAGCGGGCTTCCTGCTCAGCAGGAAGCCTGCTTCTCCCTCTCCTACTCCCCCTGCTTGTGTTCCCTCTCTTGCTATCTCTCTCTCTGTCAAATAAATAAATAAAATCTTTAAAAAAAAAATAGTGAGAGTTGGAGTGGAGAGGAAGAGAGAGTAAAATAAAAACAACATTACTTTTGAATGTGAAGAAATATAACAGAGGCCAGAAGATAGCTAGGAAATGGAGAAATGAGTGGTAAGAGAATAATTTGGTGCAAGAAGGTGAAAACACAAGAGGCAATATGTGGTAATCATGAGACAAGAAAATCCATTCCAGGCTTATAATATAAAAGAAAAGGCAGACTAGGAAGCTACCGGCTCACTTTCTTTCACTGAATTAACAACCATATATGGACCAGAATATCTCTGTAAGAACTCTAGAGACCAGCTGAGAAACTGCAGCACCCAGGCCATTGTAAAACCAAGAAAACATTCCACCAAAAGGGGTAGGATAATTCCCAGCATTTGGTACAGTCGTTAGTGCCCTTACCCCTACACAGCATATTGTGGAGACATCAGGAGGAAACCCCATGTAACTTCCTTCAAGATGGAAAAAAAAAAAAAAAAGAGTGGACCATGCACCCAACATTCTGGATTGTCTGAGGGCCACTCAGGGAACTGGTTTCTGTCTTGCCTGACTCAGAGTTCTTAGGGGACCAACTCAAGATAAACTACTGAAAACTGAGGTGAGCAGCAAGCAGAGCTACAGGATTGCAGGCAGACATGGGAGGAAAGGAAATGAAGAAAATTATTCCATTCACAGTAGCATCAAAAAGAATAAAATACTTAGAAATAAACCCAATTAAGGAAATGAAAGACTTGTACATTGAAATCTATAAAACATTACTGAAAGAAATGAAATAATACATAAATAAATGGAAAGGTAGCCCATGTTCATGGATTGGAAGACTTAATATTGTTAAAATGTGCATACTGAATAAAATAATCTCTAGATTAAATGCAATTCCTATCAAAATCCCAATGACATTTTTTTTTTTTTTCACAAAGAGAAAGAAAAATGAGGTGCCTGGGTGGCTCAGTCAGTTAAGTGTCCAATTCTTGATTTCAGCTCAGATCATGATTTCAGGGTCATGGGACTGAGCCCCATGTTGGGCTCTATGCTGGACTTAGAGCCTGCTTGGGATTCTCTTTCTCTCCCTTGGCCCCTACCCACAAAAAAAAAAAAAAAAAAAAAAAAAAAAAAAGAAGAAGAAGAAGAAGAAAGAAAGAAATAGAAAGAAATCATCCCAAAATTCATATAGAATCTCTAGAACCTCAAAGAGACAAAACAATTTTGAAAAAGAAGAACAAAGTTGGAGAACTCATACTTTCTGATTGTAAAACATATCACAAAGCTATAGTAATCAAAAGAGTGTGGTACTGGTGTGAAGACAGACAAATGAATCAATAAAATAGAGAACCTAGAAATAACTCCCATGTTTTTGGCTATATCATCTTCAACAAGTGTGCCAACACTACTCAAGAGGAAAAAGAATCTCTCCAACAAATGATGTTGGGAAGTAGATGTCAAGAATGAAGTTGGAATCTTATCTTACATTATATATAAAAATTAACTCAAAATGCATTAGCAATGTAAATATAAGACTTAGATTTATAAAAATTCTACAAGAAAACATACAGGAAAATCTTTATAACATTGAACTTGGCAATGATTTCTTTTATATGATACCCCCCAAAGCCAACAAAAGCACAGATAGACAAATGGGACTACATCAAACTTTAAATCTTTTGTGCCTCAAAGGACACAACAAAGTG